TGTATTTCTACTATATTTTCTGTATTTAGTATTTCTCCATAAGTCATACTATGCTTTGCCTTAATTATGCTATATTGTGCTTCCTCATTAATTTTTTTCAAGACTTTCTTCATTTTAATATTTTCTATATTATTCCCTATGATTTTCTTTGTTTCTGTTTTTATTGGCCATTTCTGGTTTTCTTTTTTTTTTTTACAAATTTCTTTAGCATTTTTTTTGCCTTGGACTTGAATTTTCTAGCCAATTCTTGTATTATTTTCTTGTTTTTCTTGACTTGTTTGTTTCTTTTTCACTTATTTAGATTTTCTATACAATATTTGTCTAATTTTTCTTCATATTGTTTTTTTTGTAGTAGTAAGCATTCTATCATAATTTCTAGTGCATAAAGATCTTGTTTTGTAATATTTGGCAAGAAGGCCTCAATTTTGCTCTCACAATAAAGTTGTAACATCTGTAATCTAAATCTTCTTCTGTATCTTTGCTGTATTGTTTTCTATATTTCTGCTTATATTTTTCTAACTTCTTTTTGTCTACTTCTGCTAATAGATTCTCTAGTGCACATCTTGCTGCTGCTAAAATTTGTTATCCTTGTTTATTTTTAGAAATTTTCTTTTTCAGTTTGCTTCACGTGATTTGGCTTCTCTATTGTTGTTGTTTTTCTTGTTATATTTGTTATGTGTTGATTTATGTGTTTGTATTGTTTTTCTTTTATTACATGTTGCATATTGTATCATATCAACAGATCTGCACTACAGAGTCAAGTGCTTTTTCCAAAAAATTGCTTACAGACGATGAAAAATTGCTATATTTCCAAGTTTTTTTTCTATATCTTGATGGGTTTTGACTTTTCAACTCTAGTCTTCTAAGAGACAGAGCATTGTTTTATGTCTTTCTTCTTTTTACTTAGTTGTGTAAGCTTTGCTTCTTAGTACTGTTCTTGAGTTTTATTAATTTTGTGTTTTTGTTTTTCTGTAAAAATTTGTGTTTTGATGATTGGCAGAAAGAGTTTTGTGTTGAATATCTATCATTTTTTGAGCATTTTTATTTAATAACAATTTATAAAAACTATAACTTGTTATCTATTTCTATCTTAGTATTATGATTTTTTATATGATAATTATATTTTAAAAGAAAAAAATTCTTTTAAATTTAATAAAATACAGCTAGAATACTAACTTATTTCTTTGTTTAGTACTTAAATAATAACCAATAGCTAGTAATAACAACAAAAAAAAGTGATTCTATATCAACACATATATTTCTGAAGATAACAGCTAACTTTACTTCTTTAACAAAGCTGAATCAGATGAAGATATACTTAATGAATATAATAATATTATAAATTTAGATAATAATGAAGACAATCTAGAAATATCAAACAGCATTGCTAAAAAAATACTGGCACTAGTGATATTATTAGTATATACTAAATTATTTGATTATTATTGCATTTTATTAAAAAAAATTTTATAGCAATAGAGAAATCGACTATACAAGATACTCTGATAGATTTTTTTGAAACACTTAGCTTGTTGCCAGAATAGTTCAAAAATAATAAAAAAAAACGGAAAAGCAAATTTCAAAAATAATACTGTAGAAGCAATATCTAAATATATTCCAGTAAATAAAAAATACCAAGCAGTTTTTCAAGTAATTAGGTACTGCTAATTTTGTTTATATAATATCTAAAATAATGTACTAAGCTAAACCTTGTATACAGACACTTGTTTATGATACTGTTGAATAACTTGTTGAAGCTAAGTGGCAGAACAACATGATTATATTAAGTGAATATGGGTACCAAAAATTTCTGATACCATTATTGATCAGTTTTTATATACAAGTAAAGACATTCTGAAAGTTTTTTGAAGTTATAGAAAACACAAGGTTGGGTATAAAAAAAATAAAACAAACTCAGAAGTTGATAAATATAATAAATATTGAATATACCAAAATACAAGATAAGACAATGTATATCTAATTAATTTTGTAGTAAAATCCTAAGCACTAATTCTATTTATATACATCTTTTACTATCTATTATTTATTTTATTTATTTATTGCTAGAAATTTTCCAATCGACAAAGCATGACTAATCATCTTGTTTCTTCTTTAAACTCTGTTATTGAAGATTTTGATGCTAATGATATTAACTTTCTGATAAATAATAAAGATATTTATTTAGAGGAGGAAAGCTATACTGATATTGAAATAGAAGAATGCTGGAAAAGAAAAATTACTGTATATGAATACTCTTTTAATAAATGGCATTTAGCTATTAAAAGAAGAAATCAATATGAAGATGACAGATATGAATTTACAGAAGATAGAGTAGTTATTAACAGTCTTGGCAATGTACAAAATGATAATTTAATTGGCAAATCACAAGTCATCTAAACAAATATTTTTTTTTTTTATATATAAATTTTACTATAAGCTTAAATATGAAGCGTACCTATCTAAAACTTTTTTTTTACTAAGTAAATCACTCTTGGGCTTGTAATAAAAGTTGTAAAGCTCATCAAGAAGCATCTAATAGTAGT